AAAAAAAATATTGCTAATATATTGGCTACCTTCCAGGTTCTCTGTTAAGAAGTCTGATTTAAGAGATGTTACACATTTGATCTCATGCTTCAGCAGTTCCTCAACTGTTTTTTAAGATCCGTTGGGTGAATGCCACGAGCGCAAAGCCCTGATCCATTTGTGGGGGGGAGGGGAGTATTTATTTTCAATCAATTCTGATTCAGGCATGGGTACATTTCCAGCAACTTTTAAAGTAAAGACCAATGTACAAAATTCATTTGATTTATTTGCTAATTTCCCTGACTCCTAAAATGACTCCTTCTATGTTGTTGTCATATAATGGTTTCATTGCCCTTCTGCTAATTTCCCGCTTCTTATATTTTTAACTTGTATTAAAGTAATACAAGTTGTTATGTGTTTAATATCTTTAACAATTGATCTTTAATTTTCTGCATTTTTAAAGTATTTTGTCAGACACAATTATTTTTCAAAATGTGCATTCATTTATGCCTTTTCTTGAGTTGGGCAGACCCTCCCTTTGTAATAAAATAATGCTTCCTTTTATACTTTACTGACTTTAATTTTCTGTCTGCTTATTGCTGATCTGTCTTCTTCCATTCCTCCTCCAACTTGTAACCCATTTTATTTGAGCTTCTATTACTACATATCTAAAATGAATTTGTGTTTTATTTTAAAGTGTCCTCAGTTCCTTACGGCCAATAGTTATTTCTAGCCGAACTGTCCTATTTTTGCAATAATTCAAAATTTTCAAGTTTATATAGTCAAAGCGGTACAGTCATAGAGACCTGGTTTAATGAAAAGGAGAGTATAGTACAGAAATAATCCTTGAACTTTGATGAATACCAGGAAATGGAAGAAAAAGTAGCAGTAATATGTGTCCCTTGCTTGTCAGTCATCATAATATTTTCCGACATCCTTGAAAAAGAGCACCTGTTTGCTGCTTCTTGTGCAGTTCAACTTCTTTTCTCCAACTAATAAAAGCACTAGAGAGGGAATATAAATCTATCTCAACTTAGTATATTTTAAACTCCAATAAGCTCTTTACTTTGAGATATTGTTAACTGGACTAATGGGAGTTAAAATCCAAGCAAAATATGGAGACAGGATGCCTATCCTACTATAAAGTATATTACGTTCTAGGTAAGAATTTTTGAGTTTGTAATGCAACGTGGTACAAACTTGATGTTTGTACAGTGTTCAAGATAAACAACTTTATCTTTGTTTTAGTAGATCAATTTAGTAGTTGACCATTTCTCCAGTTAGACTAAAGGCATCTTGCCACCCCAAAAATCTTCTTCTGTGACATATTTCATTGAAATATATTTAAAAATGGCCAGACTTTTTTTTTTAAGGGAACTGGTTAGCTCTGCTCTCATTGAGAAATCTGTGAATGTGTTTCTGAATATTAGGGATTCTCAGGGGTTTCTGAGAATCATAGTTGCTATAAATAAGGTATATGCACATGTACTCCTTTTCTCCCAGTTACCAAGGAAGAGCCCATCATCCCTACTTTCTGTCAGGGCAGGAATCTTAATTCCTCCTTCATTCACTCCTTCCATGTTTCAAAGAAGAAACAAAATAGTTCCACCTCTAGCCTATTCTTCTGATTTTGCAGGGCTATATGGTGACCATGAATACCCGTGGCATCCCTGAGGGTATGAAGGGCAAGGATAAGATAATCTTTGGGAACATCCACCAGATCTATGACTGGCATAAAGAGTGAGTGAACAAGCAAACAGTCATTTCTGGACAGAGCATGGCATGTGGTAACAATGAAAAGTCCTATTGAACCTGTGGGCTTCCAATAATCAGGATTATTGGAATTCCAATAATTTCCAATAATCAGGCCAAATGGCTATAATGGGAACTGAAGGCCAGTGGCCATATCTGGGGGAAGTCGGGGGTAACTTTGAATTATTTCTTGGCAGCTGTTTCAAGGGCTAATATTGACCCAGTGATTACCTATCTAGGTGAATGTGGCCAATATGAAATTAGTAAAATAAAGGACAAGAATTTTGATGGGCCACTATCTTATGGTTGAATGGATTACTGATCCTCTTTCCTTTCTTTTCCAAAAGAATCCAATCGTAAGAAGGACTCATATTTCTTAGCCTCCCTTGAAAAGCACTTTGGTTTGAATCTGTAATATAAAAGACAGGGAGGGGGGGGGAAATGGAGGAATGGGATAAGGGCACTTATCTCATGGATACCATATCTGCTCCCTCTCCTCCCCCAACTGCAGTTATTTACTCAAGCAGCTGGAGAAATGTCTGGAGGACCCTGATCTTCTGGCCGAGCTGTTCATAAAGCACGTGAGTCCCTACATTTGGAGGGTAAACCAGCTGCCAAAATAGAAGCTGAATGGTTAAATGACATTTCTGAATAGAGGAGCATAGATTTCTAGTTTCTAAAGACCAAGATAAAACAGTTACCCTTTTTACTTGCATTAAAACATTTTTAGAACGGCCATGGTCAGATGCAGAATGCTGACCTAGATGGAGCTTTAGTTTGATTGAATCATCTAATTCCTCTGGAAAAGCATGTCCATTGTAGCCTCATTAACTCAGGGATTATGCAAGTTTAAGCATAGAAGAGGAAATCCCTTACTCATCTTAAGAAAGCTAGATGCTCTAAGGATGATGATATTGATCCCTTTTTCTTATCAAGCATTTGTTAGCCTGACCTATGGCATATTTAATACAAGAGATTTTTCATTGTCTAGGAGCATTGGTAATTATTGCCCCACAACTGGTGATAATAGCGTGATGACAGTGCAAATGAAATGAGATATAGAGTTGCAAAGTGAAATGTTATTTATGTGTGGCACAGACTTCATAGACTTTTAAATCTCATAATCCTCAAGCACCATGACCTTTGGCCATTCAGTTGGTGATTATGGTAGTCATCAATTATATGAAGGTTGGAGAAAGAAACATTCTTCTGATAGAATGAAGGTGGAATTGACTATACCATCTGCCCTAGTCAATTTCATGCTGTAGAAGAACATTTAATAAAACAATTTCAGTGTACAGTAATTAAGAAGTCTGAATGCTATTTATAAATTCAAAAAAAAAACACCTTTGAAAACTAGGAGCATTGCTGCCTGGGAACAGATAACTTTGTACTTTTTTTAAAGGCTACATTCTAAATAATATCAAACTCCAGAGAGAGGCGATTGCCATGAATCATTCACACCCTGGTTTAATCTTGTTTTTCACAAAATTGTTTTGTTGTTGCTGCAATGAATTACCATGATTAACCCATAGTTCTCCTTTGTAAAAGGAAACTTTGCTAAAATGAGATGTTTTTCTTAGCCTACTATTTAACTTTAGTAATTCAACAAAATAAGCTGCTATAAATCCACAAAATTGACTGTAATCATTCAACAAAACAAGGTCTGGTCCCAAATAAATGTGAAGTATATGTGTATATATGTATATGTAATATATACGTGCACACACACATATACACAATCAGAAAAAAAATTACATTTATTTCTTAGCAAGTATCCATATTCAATGATTACAACCAGAAGCTATTAAAATTATACCTGCTTTTACTTATAAACTGCTAGAGGAAGCTAATTCTGAGTTTCCCCAAGCGTTACTGGAAGCATTATAGAAACAAATGCTGGCTTAAGCATAGATAACGATGAAACAATAAAAAATGCCCCAGTGGCAAAGACAGCATGTGCCATAAAATAAGATTTTCATTAGAACTAGTAACTTGTATAAATGGCTCAGTAGGTTTGGACCTGGCTCTTGAAGGTACATGTTGTTAAATTGTATCCAAAGTGTTCCACTGAACTGTTTCCCTGTTATATTCTAGGAGCGCCGTTTGCACATGTATGTTGTTTACTGTCAGAACAAACCCAAATCTGAGCATATTGTTTCTGAGTTTATCGACACTTACTTTGAGGTAAGGGACTATGTGCCTTGATTGCTGCTTTGTTCTTTCTTCCTGCCTTCAGCCTCTACCACATAACTTGCTTGTGTCTGACTCCTCTCCTGCCGGCATAAGGGACCCTTTCTCAGCCAACGCAGATGAACTCCAGGGTACCTGGCAACCTCTTTTGGTCCTGTCATCTAGAAGCTCCCATCTTGAGGAGAAGCATTTGTATGGAGCCATTGCCGCCCAACACATCTGCCTCTTCTTGCACACTATCACACATTCCTCTTAATGTGGGTAGGCAATGATTTGCAAAACCCATGGGAATAACTCCTGGCATCTGTTAGCCGTAATTGAGGTGAGAACTCCCGGTTGAGGGAGACTTTAAAAGCCATGTACCATCAGAGGTTGCCTGTATTAACTCTTTAAATTGGCATAAGGGGTAGATGAGCAGCTGTTGACTGGCCCCAGGCTTCAGAATTGCCTTTTCTCTCAGAAATACATGCCCTTGAGCTAAGGGGTGGGAAGGAAAAGTCTTTTGAAAGAATGATGAATTTTCTATCCCTGGGATCCTTCTGCTCGGAGATAAAGAATAAAAGACTGCAAATGTTCTTCTATGCTAAGCTCCATTCTGAATATGTAAGCCTATGAAGCCACTTTTAAATGTTATATATTGGTCGCATCTTGCTTTCCCAAGTCTCTAATACTCGTCTTTCACTTGCAGGTGTCCTTTTTAAAGCATGTCACATTTTGAGCGGTGTCTGTATAGCATGCGCAGTCAATCTCCCACACATTTTTTACAGACTTGGCTGTACATCGTTTTCTCTTTTCCAGGAACTGAAGCAGGAATTGGGGCATCGCCTGCAGCTCAATGATTTACTTATCAAGCCCGTACAGCGGATCATGAAATACCAACTGCTGCTCAAGGTGCTGAAGCAGAAAGTGGATTGTTGATCTCCAAAGCTAAGGGCAAAAAGCCTGATCTCCAAAGATCTCCAAAGCCGAAGGCAAATCCAGCAAGGAAGGAATCTATACACGTATTTCCTGCTGATCTTTAAAGAGCAAGCTTCCTTAGCCTGTTACTCTCCAGATGGCTGAAATTCGAATTGCCTTAACTCCCTGTTAATAACATGAATGCCCATCTGGATGGTACCAGGTTGGAGGTAGCCGTTATAGAATCCAGAGGGGAGCAGTTGGTGAAAAGGAGCTCCTAACAACATCTGGATTTTCTCTAGGGCAGTAGGCCAGTGAAATTTCACAAAAGGAGTGGCTCTTCCATCTGATGGTGTTCTCTCACCCCCTACTGGACGTTATTTCTATCTAATCCCCCAGAGTGAAAACAATGATTCAGGCTGAGGGGTGATTCCACCCTGCAGCCTAAAGCTATTTGTTTCTTAATGTCAGCTTCAGAAATTCTACCTCTAGACAAGGGCCACTCCAAGTTCCAATTAGCCTTTTTAAATATTTTTTTAATCTCATCTTTATTATTTTTTTAATAAGTCACTCAAGGCAGCCAACGTACCTAGTATTCCTATTTCCCCCACAACCACCACCTTATAGGTCGGTTGGGCTGAGAGAGTGATTGGCCCAAAGTGATCCAACTAGCTTTCATGCTTTAAAGTTTCACTCCTTCTGTGAGGAAGATGGGTGGTTTAAACATGTAATAAATAAATAAACTCACAGTCTCCTGATCTGTTGATTGGCTCCTGTGGGCACTACTGTATCGGTGCTTGCCTTTTTCTTTTAGAGATCGATTCCTAATCATTGGGCCTTATGCCTTGCCTTTGCTTCTCCAAATGCTTGCATTATTTCCTTTGACACTAATGCAGATCCTTTCTGGGGGGGGTTTCCTGCCCCCCCTTATGATACTTTTGTGGTTCCAATGATGCAATTGTATCAAAGCAACAGGGAACAGGTTGTTCACGCCTACATTTCTCTGTAGGGCATGGAAAGGGGAGCAAGGAAAAACTGTTCATTTAGCTTCACAGAAATAAAATAGCAATGTTCCTATATTGCAGTATAAAGGTCGTCAAATGAAAGGCAGGGAAGGGAAAGCCCAGATGCAGGAATACTAAGGAAATGGGTTGGGAAGAAAAGAGTATCTGGACAGAAAGAGCAAATCATTAAAAGTATCCTCAGCCTTACCTTCACTGAGAGATGTAAAGCAGGAATGGAGTGCACACTTACAGGGATGAGGATGCTTCAGTGATTATTAGATCAGTTGCAGGATTATTTTAAAAGGTAACAACCTGCAACTGCTGACCAGTAAACAGCACAATAGCCCAGCAGCAAAGGAGGGATGACCCATTGGAGGAGAGGCAGTGTGCCCGGCACTGGAGGCCAATCAGAAGTGAGGCTGCTCTTAGAACAAGATGAAAACACTGGAGACCATCTTCTCTGAAGGACCTAAGATGGCTTGAGTTTGAAAACAGCAGCTTTGAATTGAAGATGGAAAACCTGAGAATAGGGTGCATTTGGAACGTGGCACAACAAAACCGCGCTCGACTAAAGCGCGCCCGATTAAACCGCGTCGCTGATGTCATCAGCAGGGCGACAACA